GTGTCTGAATCCCAAACACTAATTGGAAGACTGTTCCATAAGCTGTTCCAGAGCATAAGGATGCTTCACAATAAAAGACAATAACAGTACAATAGAACAGCCTAAGCATATGTGTCATATGGACGGTGGACATTTGCCCAGTCCAGAACAAAAAGCAATGCAGTTGCATCATTATAATAAATCTTACAACATGAAGCAGATACACAATATGACTGGTAATATTGGGTGAACAAATGGGTTTTGAGCTGAATTTGAATTAAATGATAGAGGTAGTTGTCTGAATTGCCAGGGGGAGTGAGTTCCATAGTTTAGGTGCCACAACAGAAAAAGATCTACTCATTGACAAAAGGTGAAATCTGGGAACAAGGAGAAGTTCACAGACAGAAGATCTGAGTGAGCGAGTGGGAATATAGGGAGAGAGTAACTCAAATGTAGGAAGGAGCAAGACCATGGAGTGACTTATATGTAACCAATAGAATTTTATATATAATATGGGACAGGTAGGCAGTGAAGGTTATATAGACTGGGAGTGAATGTGCAGATCATTTAGTGTAAGTTAGTACTCTCACAGCAGAATTCTTAATATATTGTAAGTGGGAAATAGAGTGTGGTGGTAGTCCAGAGAAAAGGGCATTACTATAGTCAATGTGAGATGTAATAAAAGCATGGAGTTGAGAGGCCAGTAAAAATTATTTCAGTTTTACTGAGTTTTTTATTTTCCCAGTTTTACCTGGGAAAGTTGGAATTTAACCAGCTCTTCAATTCATTAACACATGAGGATAATGAGGCAGTCTGGTGAACAGAGTCTGGCCTGCAAGATGTATATATTTGAATATCGTCAGCGTAGTGAGGATAGTTAAAGCCGTGTTGACGGATAATTTGTCCAAGAGGCATAAGGTAAATAATAAATAAAAATGGACCGTGAACTGAACCCTGAGGAACACCCTCTCTGAGTGGGACAGTGGGGGGTTTATGATTGTGCATCGAGATAATGCAGCTCCTGAGATACCGATCTAAGAAGGCGAGAGAGTAACAGTGGCAGACTGTGAAAAAAGCTGAGCTTAGGTCAAGTAATAACAGAATGGAAAGATTGCACGAGTCACCAGAGAGTTAAAAATCATTAACAACTTTTACTAGAGCAGTTTCAGTGCTGAGATGTAGGCGGAAACAAGACTGAAATATGTCAAACCGATGACTGGGACACAACTCTAGGCTTTCACTGCCCTCTACTGACCGTGCACAAATCTCAACGTCAACTCCTTTTCCATCAGTCTTTTATTTATTCTACATGAATGTTTGTGCTGTTACACACACACACACACACACACACACACACACATATATATATATAACATTTTATTAGTGTGAAATCTCTTGTAGGTACCTCCCAAAAATGTAGTTGAATAAATGGTGTGCTTGCTGCATTTTTGGGTGGATTCAATTGAGACTACATTTCCCATGGTCCTTTGTTTCAGGATGAGTTGCAGTTTGTTTCCATTGGAGTAGTTCAAGCCAATGGGTTGCCTGTTTAATTAAACTCCTAGCCAATCAGAGGTCACCTTTGTGAGGAGAGGAGAGGTATCGAACGGAGAGGGAGTGACACGCGGGACGAGAGCGGGAAAAAGAGAACCGGAGTTTTAACGCAGAGGTGATGGTTGTAGACTAAACCTCTATAACAGTAGTGCCACAAATATCATTTTATTCAGCAAAAAGTCGAGAGCAACTAGCAGATCGGTAAATTGGTGAACTGTAAGTTTAGGTGAAGTGCAGCTAGCTTATCTGCGTTTGTTTGTTTTGCACTAGCTTGGGAAAAACAAAGTTAAGTACAAACTGTAACTCGTGTACGTTAAGCTAATGTCTTCGTGAGAGACGGACAGCTGTAACCGCCAGCCGCAGTTTTCACAGCAAACTGAAGGACGAGGACTGTGGAGAACTGTGCTGAACTAGGTAGCATGGTAGCTACGCCTGTTTGAGGAGGGACTCCACCGCCGAACCTGCGTCGCTGAACTGACCTGCTGGAACCTCGCGTGCAGCAGATACATTCTCTCTGCTCGTGTCCAAGTCAGCTAATTCTTCTGTTCCAGAGGCATGAGTAACGGAGAGGTTTTAGTAGCCGTTCACTAAAGGAACCAAGGAGGGTTTTGTTTGTATGTGCACCCACTCACGGGCCCCAACAGAAAACCCAAGCGCTTGGTGAAGGTTCTGAACATTTAATAAAAAAGGGGTTTAAGTGGTTAAATCCAAACTGTACTGTTCCTGGTGTTGAATAATTAGAAAGGAGTGTTTGAGTTACTGGTCTAAATTTAGTTTCTAATACATGTATACAGTTTGAAGTTTTTTTGTTTAGCATAATAAATGTTTTTATTTTTGTTATACATATTACCTGGCTTTACTGAACTTTTCTTTTTGATTTAATAAGGTTTATATATATTTGTCATAGTTATACTTGATATTTGTTTCTGGGGAATAACCATATCGCTCATAGTGTGTGAGTGGGGTAATTCTTCAGTGGAGGCACCGCGCTATTCTGGATTAAATCAGTTATATACATTTCTGCCTGTGATAATATTATCGACTGGTAAATAGAGGTTAGCCAATTCACCATCAACTGCTAAGTACTCAGGACCCTGTTAATTGAAACCATTTACAGTACTAACCTTATCTAATATTGCACTTCCAGCGCCAGGAAGGGGTTACACACAGAAACACTCACACTCTTACACACACACACACACACACACACACACACACACACACACACACACACACACACTCACACTCTTACACTCTTACACACACTCACTCTTAAACACCCACACACACACACTCACACTCTTACACCCCCACACACACACACACTCACATCTTATACACTCACACATACACACGTTCTTACACACACACACACACACACTACACACACGTATATATATATATATATATATTAGTAGCGGGATCAGCCCAGGGGCGAAGGCGTAAGCACAAACACACGGGCGGCAGGTGGTAGTGAGAGAATGTGAGGGAAAACCCAGGATTTATTGTCCTTCAATCTGTGGTGGTGCGTGTGTGTGTGTGGTTGGGTGCGTGTGTGCGTGTGGGGGGAAGGAGGGAAACCCGGAAGGGGCGGTGGCTGGCGTAGCGGCGTCCTCCGGGCGTGTCGGGATTCCCGGAAGAGCTGGGAAGGAGCGGTTCCCTGTGCCACTTTTGGGGCTTCACCACTGTCCTCGTCTGTCGTCGTCGCCTCGTCCAAGGCAGAGCCCTCTGTGAGCGGAGAGATCGAGGGAGAGGGAGCGCAGAGAGAGAGAGCGCGAACGGTTAGGTACGCCCGTGTTGCGCGGATTCAGTGGTAAATACTTCGCCAGATTAGCTGCCTACGTGGCGAGTTGATCTCCCCTCTTCATGGGCGGAAGGGTGTCCTTTTATCCCCTCCTTCTGGAGCTGGATTGGTGAACCTCTTGCTCCGGTTCGGCCCAATCCCCGCCAGCGAGGCGGGGGTTGGCTCCACCCTGCAGTGATGACCCTTCCGGTTAGCGTTGGGACCGGCGGAAGGCTGCCCGCCCGCGCCGGGGCGGTAGTCGGGGAAGGAGCGAACCTCCTAGTTTGCGCGGCCGGGTGTTGGTCCGCCGCGACTATATATATATATATATATATATATATATATATATATATATATATATATGAGCCCATGATCACTCTGGATGAACTGCAGAGAACTACAGCTGAGGTGGGAGAGTCTGTCCATAGGACAACAATCAGTCGTACACTGCACAAATCTGGCCTTTATGGAAGAAAGCCATTTCTCAATGATATCCATAAAAAGTCTTGTCTAAAGTTTGCCACAAGCCACCTGGGAGACACACCAAACATGTGGAAGAAGGTGCTCTGGTCAGATGAAACCAAAATCGAACTTTTTGCCCACAATGCAAAACGATATGTTTGGTGTAAAAGCAACAGAGCTCATCACCCTCAACACACCATCCCCACTGTCAAACATGGTGGTGGCAGCATCATGGTTTGGGCCTGCTTTTCTTCAGCAGGACAGGGAAGATGGTTAAAATTGAGGGGAAGATGGATGCAGCCAAATACAGGACCATTCTGGATGAAAACCTGTTGGAGTCTGCAAAAGACCTGAAACTGGGACGGAGATTTATCTTCCAACAAGACAATGATCCCAAACATACAGAAAATCTACAAAGGAATGGTTCACAAATAAACGTATCCAGGTGTTAGAATGGCCAAGTCAAAGTCCAGACCTGAATCCAATCGAGAATCTGTGGAAAGAGCTGAAAACTGCTGTTCACAAACGCTCTCCATCCAACCTCACTGAGCTCGAGCTGTTTTGCAAGGAAGAATGGGCAAGAATTTCAGTCTCTCGATGTGCAAAACTGATAGAGACATACCCCAAGCGACTTGCAGCTGTAATCGCAGCAAAAGGTGACTCTACAAAGTATTAACGCAAGGGGGCCGAATAATTTTGCACGCCCCACTTTTCATTTTTTTATTAGTTAAAAAAGGTTCAAAAATCCAATAGATTTTGTTTCACTTCACAATTGTGATTTCGTTCCACTTCACAATTGTGTGTCCCACTTGTTGGTGATTCTTCACAAAAAATAAAAATTTTATATCTTTATGTTTGAAGCCTGAAATGTGGCAAAAGGTTGAAAAGTTCAAGGGGGCCGAATACTTTCGCAAGGCACTGTAATGCTTACATAATGCATACATAATGCTTCATCTACAGACACAACCAGGTTTGAGATAAAGTCGGCAAATTCTCTAAGAAATTCAGTATATGGCCCTGGGGGTCTGTAAATAATAATTAGACTTATTGTTTCTGGCTACATAGTTTACATTGGTATAAAGAATTTCAAAAGAATTAAATTTATGATAAGGTTTTTGTGTGACCACGAGATTTTGACTATGGATGAGACCAACACTACAGTCCACTTCACTCACCAATGTCCACTACAGTCCACTACATCTCATGATAACCACTACACTATGCAGCGATGGCTCAGTGGTAAGGGCTCTGGATTATTGATCAGAAGGTAGGGGGTTCAAGCCCCATCTCCAAGCTGCCACTGTTTGGCCCTGGAGAAAAGTCCTTAACCCTCTTTGCTCCAGGGACCCTGAGCCTGTGCTTTGACCCCAACTTCTGGGACATGTGAAAAAAAGAATTTCACTATGTTGTAATGTATATATGACAAAAAAGGCAGAGCAACACTAGGGAAGAAACCCAGCATCTGGTGATGTCCATCTGGTTCTATCACAACAAACTCCAGAAGTGGAGTCAAAATCCCAAGATGAGGATAAAATGAGTCTTCTCTGAAATCTTAAATGATTATTTATTTTTAATCCCTCAGCATGGATTCATGGGGTCTGGACTTTAAAAAAAACTCATAATAATAATCATCATTATCATCATCATCATCATTATCATCATGTTTCAGCAATGGCTCAGTGGTTAAAGGCTCTGTGTTACTGATCAGATGGTCAGGAGTTCAAGCCCCAGCACTGCTAAGCTACCACTGCTGAGCCCTTGAGCAAGACCATTAACACTCAACTGCTCAGGTGTATAAATGAGATAAATGTAGGTTGCTCTGGATAAGGGCATCTGCCAAATGCTGTAAAGTTCATCATCATCATCATCATCAACCACATATTGTGAAAACAAAGTGTGAACATGAAACACTCAAACCAACATTTGTACTGAACATTTGAAGAAGTTTATTATTGTCTTTAAGTTGTCTCTTTACCACAAACATGAAGCAAAGACAGAGAACATTCCATTACACACAGATCATTATTCAGGGATTTTATGGGTAATGATGCTGGGAAGTGGAAGCACTGAAGTTTTCTGAAGCTCTGGTTTAGCATCAAGATAGACTACATGGACAACACTCAGAAAAAGACACCAGTCATGACAAGACTCATTTCCCACAAACACCTGAAAGAGGGGGAGGGAGATGGAGAGAGAGAGAGAGGGAGAGAGAAACACAATGATTGGTCAGAAGGTGTTGATTAATTTTCTATAGCAGCGGCTCTGACAGTAGTGAAGCTGCACATCACAGGTTAATGTTACAGTTTTTCTCGATTGCTTAAACACTATAACCAGGCTTTTGAACTAAAATTTAAAAAGCATAACGGCAGTAAAATTTCACATTGATTATAAACTACTATTATTAACCTATAAAGCACTGAACGGTCTCGCTTCTCAGTGCCTGAGGGAACTTTTGGTCTTTTATGATCCACCACGCCCACTTCCAAAAAAACACTCACTCACACACTCACACACACACACACACACACACACACACACACACACACACACACACACACACACACACACACACACACACACACCCTTTACACTCATACTCACAAACACACACACACACACACACCCTTACACTCACTCACACACACACACACACACACACACACACACACCCTTACACTCACAACACACACAACACACATCCTCACACCCTTACACTCACAAACAACACATGCACACATACACCCCCTTACATTCCTCACACAAAAAACACACACACACATACACCCACACACACACACACACACACACACTCACACACACATACACGGGCGGCTGTGGCGCAGGTGGTAGAGTGGGTTGTGCACTAATCGTAGGGTTGGCGGTTTGATTCCCGGTCCGGGTGACTCCATATGCCGAAGTGTACCCCAAGTTGCTCCCGATGGCAAGTTAGCACCTTGCATGACAGCTACCATTGGTGTGTGAGTGTGTGTGTGTGAATGGGTGAATGAGACACAGTGTAAAGTGCTTTGGATAAAAGCACCATTTACATACATACACCCTTGCACTCACAAACACATATTCACTCACACACACAAAGACTTCAGATGAGCCACTTTTGTAGCTCACCTAGTGACTGAGTTCAAGTGACTAAAGCAACCGCCCTCTGAGCGAGAACAGATTGAAGTAATCTGCCGGCATGTCTCTGATCAGTATAGACTAGCCCTTCATTCTACCATACCTACTACTTTAACAGAGCTACTTCTGACCACCCATGGACTACATGCTGCATTAGGGCCTGTTTCTTCTAGTAGAGCCCCCATTTCCCCGACATCTCCTCGCCAGGACCTGTACTGCTACAAATGTTTGACTCCGGGGGTTCCCACACGCAATTGTGGGAACTGTAGGAAGAATAGGCAGAGTGGTAGTGCTGAACCTGCCCGAGGGGTTGCTGTAGTTTCTAAGATAGGCCAGGAGACCCCAGATACTTCTGAGGTCACTAGAGGTATGACTGGTGTTTGGCATCGTAGGTTTCAAAGGGCTCATAAGGGTAAGCAGAGAATGGAGTCAGGGACCAGTGCACAACAGACAGAGAGTTCACACAAAGTTAATTTGATGCAAAACAGCCCAAAGAAGTCAAAGAATACTCCACTGATGGCAATGGTGGTCGTCAATCAGGTTTCACTGAGGGCAACCCTGGATACAGGTGTAGCCATTTCGGTGGTCCACCAATTCACCATATTAAATGTGGAATAGAGGGAGATGCTGTCCTTCCTTGGAATTTTTTCCCGCTGGAGTTGGCGGACTCAAAACAATGCACCCCTTATGGTGTTGTATGGCTGCCTATTCAACTTCGGAGCAACTGTTTACTCACCGCTTTGCCGTGATTCCAGACCTGTCTTGTCCCATTCTCTTAGGGACTGATTTTATGATTCAGGCTGACGTCCACCGAGCCACAGGAGGCGTTAAATTGGGAGATAATGCCACCTCAGCGCCAGACCTAAGCTTGCTGGAGTTTGATGATTTGGAGGGCCATGTGGCTACCCTCACCTTTAAGGATGTCCAGACCGATCTTGGTCTGGTGGTGGAAGAAGCAGCCCTTCATTCAATGGACAGGAAAAAACATCCACACCTATTGGGAGACTTTGTTCATCTTTTTGGGGAAAACCTGGGACATACTTCATTGGTGGGGCACCCAATAGACACTGGGACAGCAAAGCCAGTGTGTCTTCCTTCCTACCGCGCTTCACCTGCAAAATGAAAGATTATTGAGGAGCAGACTTCCAGAATGTTGGAGGATGGTATTATTGAGCCTGCTTCAGGGCCCTGGGCCTCTCCAAAAGCCAGGTGCAGATCCAAGATTTTGTGTAGACTTTAGGAAAGTGAACAAATATACAGTGAGGGACACCTACCCACTTCCAAGAGTGGATGACTCTCTGGATTTTTTGGCATGTGGTAAATTTATTTCCACACTGGACCTTGCACGGGGTTACTGGCAAGTGTCAGTGGCCCCAGGCGCAAAACCAAAGACAGCTTTCGTGTCACACAAAGGGCTCTATCAGTTTAAAGTTCAGCTGGATCAAATGCACCTGCAACATTTCAAAGATTGATGAATACTGTATTGGCAGGGCTCATCCACAACTGCTGTATGGTGTATCTGGACGACATTGTGGTTGCATCACCAACCTTCGACAAGCATCTGGAAGACCTCGCTAGTGTTTTAGGGCATTTGGCAGATGCAGGCCTCTCCTTGAAGCTGACTAAGTGCCATTTTTGTACACCAAAGTTACGCTACTTGGGTTACCTGGTGACGCCAGAAGGCATTGGCCCTGACGAGGGTAAGGTGGCTGCAATTAAACAGTTTCCCACATCGAAGACAGTTAAAAATGTGTGGCAATTCCTAGGAATGACAAGTTACAACCGTAGGTTCATCTCAGGGTACGCCCGTATTGCCGAGCCGATGATTGCCCTCATGACTGAGGATGCCCCATTTGTGTGGTCCACTGACTGCCAGGTGTCTTTTGAAACCAACAGCTAATCAGTGCCCCAGTCCTTATTTTGCCTGACTTTGTGAAGCCTTTTGCAGTACACAAGGATGCCTGTGATGTGGGCCTTGGTGCTGCATTGACCCAGACTGGTGAGAATGGCTTGGAGAGGGCTGTCGCTTTTGCAAGCCGTACCCTGCCAATGTCGAAATGCCCATATTCCACTTCAGAAAATAAGTGCCTGGGGGTAATTTGGGCTCTGGACCATTTTTGTCCGTACATTGAGGGCTCCAGTGTCACAGTGGTGATGGACCACAATAGCTTGAGGTGGCTGATGACAAGGCCCTCCCCCTCAGGGCAGCTGGCTTGATGGTGCTTGCAGCTGTAAGACTTTGAGGTTGTCCACAGAGGCGCGGCCAATCTAGTTCCGGATGCACTCGCCGAACACCTACCAGTGACCCTTTGGGGCATATAGACCAGTTACCATCTCATGCCACTGTTGGCTCATTAAACCTAAGGTGCCAACCACTAATGGTGTTGGAAGACAAGGAACAGCTTCAATCACTCCAGCAGGCTGACAAAGTCATCTCATCAACATATACTGACTTGGAGAGCGGCTTCTGTGTGGGTTCGCCAGACTTCTGTATTGAGGACGGGCTGGTTTACTTTATGGACAAGAGGACTTCCTGCTGGCTTCATCCACACAAGGATCTACGCTTCTATGTGCCAGAGGCACTGAGGGGCACTCTGCTGAAATACTTCCATGATCACCCCATGGCTAACCACTTGGGTGTAACCAAGACACTTGGGCGCTTACATAAGCGGGTCTACTGGCCAGGTATGCGGGGCGATGTAAAAAAAAAATTATGTACTGTCCTGTGTAACCTGCCAGCTGTCCGAGCCGACCAACCTAAAGCCGGCACGGTAAATAAAGCCAGTGGTGGCTACTCACCCACAGTCTGTGCACACAGAAATACACTCATGCACCCTTGGACCTAGGTATGCAGAGGTTCCTTACCTCACACATATGCATACACAGCCCACTCACACAGGAACGCACTCATAGGCCTTTCACCCTAGGCACACACCAAGGGTTACCTGTAACTGGGAGGTTAACAGGTGGACAAATCCTTAGTTTGCTCCTCTATTTGAATATTGTTGTGATATGTTTTACATTTTTCTCATTTTCTGCTTTATGTATTTTTTTTAAATGCTATGTCTGTGAAGGCCTTATATTGGTTTGACTGTCTATTGTCTTACAAGAGTGATTGTTTCTTAATAGGGTAATGCGACATGCTGTTTTGTTTTTGTAATACT